GGAAGTTTAGGTTAGATATTAGAAGGAGATTTTTTCCTGTAAAGGTGGTGAGATGCTGGAACAGGTTGCCCAGGCATGTGGTAGCTGCCCCGAACCTGGCGGTGTTCAAGACCAGAGTGGATGAGGCCTTGTGCAACCTGATCTAGTGAAGAGGTGTCCCTGCCCATGGGGGTGTTGGGACTAGATGATCTGTAAGGTCCATTCCAACCCCTAAATTCTATGATTCTATGAAATATTGCTTTATTAATACTGCAATGAATAAATAAATGCCCTCAAACACCAGGAGGGAACAATTTCTAGCAGTCTGATCCTGAGGACTCACCTTTCATGTTTTGTTCTACCTAACAGGTTTGTTCAAGTTTCAGACGAATGAGTTGAGAGGTAGAAAGGCAGAATTACCTAATACATATCTGAGTTCATGAAAGCTCTACATCTCGTTTTCAGAAATCGCCAGGGGGGTGCCTAACAGCAGAAATCCCTATCTTTTCTGAGAGAACAGTCAGTTGTTCTGGAAGGTATGGGATTTTGAGGCTGTCCATTTGATAAGTTAATTTGTTGTGAGCTCAGCTGGGTAGTGCCAAGAACTTTGGGACACAGTATTTGTCTAGATTTCTGTGCTCCATACTGGCATGTTTGAGTACTTAAACATGTGAACAGTATCTCTAACTGGTCAAGGATTCAGATTCACCTTGTTATGCCACGGGAACCTGAAATACTTTGTTCTTTTTAAACTATATTTTACCCAGTGTCTCATGTCCCCATCTCAATGTTCCTTTTCTAGACCACAATTTGGAGGAGACTACTGCACCGGAGAAAGAAAACGCTATCGTATGTGTAACATTAGCCCCTGTCTCAAAGGCTTGCCAACCTTTCGTCAGATGCAATGCAGTGAATTTGATACAGTTCCCTACCAGAATGAATTCTACCACTGGGTTCCTGTTTATAACACAGGTACCAAGTTACAAATTTTTTTTAATCTCTTGTATAAAAAGTCAAAGTTACAGACCTATGAGAGACTTCTTTGAGGACAAGAAGTCTCTGAATTTTAAGTCTTTTGATTAATTAGAGAGAAAAATCTGGTGTGCCTCTGTATGAGGGTGTTCCTTTTTTGTGTACACAAAGGCAATAGTTCTTCTCTACACATGGATGTTTTCCAAGAGCTCTGGTGCTAATGACTGTGATTGTAACTAGTCCAGTGCCTGGAAAGATAGTGCACAAAGAAAAGCTGTTGAAGTCATGTCAGTACTAATTGTTTGGGATAGACCTAAACCATCTTTTCCAGTGTCAACTACAGAACAAGTAGGGTAGTATAGCAAAGAGCTGAATGTTTGGCCCTGCAGGCATCACTGCACCCAATAAGCAGACTTGTTTGACTGCACAAGTGTGGCTTTACCGCTTCCAAACTCAGATCAGCATGATAGGTGTACATGGCACCACAATGAAGAAGTAGTATCTCAACAGGTTCATTATCATACTGACCTGTACCATAAAGACAGAGTCGATGACTCTGCCTTATAACTTGCTTTGTAATAGTTAGTTACTAAATACAAGAGTAATGGTTATTACTCTGCAGTTTCTTTGTGTTTGCATAAATGTAAGGTGTAGATTGTTCTGTAGAATTGCAGAATCACAGAATTGCTAGAGTTTGAAGGAACTATGAAGATCGTCCAGTCCAACCTCCCTTCCAGGCAGAATCACATAGTGCAGGATATGCTAGAACGTGTCTGGTCATTGGAGACTAAACTGTTAAACGACTGAACTGTTAAAGGTCAGTGACTCAAACAATCAGCCATTTGCAAAGGCATTGGGGGTGATTTGCTGCTAAGTTTGCACTCCCCAGCTGAAGGGGAGGAGAGTTTTAGGTGTGGTGACTAAACCTCTGGTCTGCATAAGAACAGCCCAGGTGTTGAGAGGACATACACCCATCACTGGCGGATGATAGCGTCAAACTGAGGTTTGCTGAGCAACAAGCTGATTTTTGAACCAGTCAAAGGATAAGGCTAAGAAGGAAATCCTGCAAGGTGGGATAATGCTTTTTATCATGCCAATTTCCTCTCTTACACAAATCTCTCAGGTGCAAAAACTCCCCCACTGCCACCCCAGGAAGGAATCAGGACATTCACATGTAGGCCTGTAGGTATTCATCCCTTCTGATAAGTCATAACTTACTGAACTTACGCTGGCATGAGAAACAGCAGTTGTGTCTTAGAAGGTATCATAAACAATCAAAGACACCTGAAGCACCCCCAGACTCATTTCTGGGGCATTCCATAAGAGGACTCTATGTGATCCACAGTGTTGCATCAGACAGGGTAAAACTCCCCCCACTAGGTAAGGTACCTGGGGGTTCCCACCTGAACCTCTATGTATATTAACCTATTGGTCTTCATGTTGTGTGAGCTTCCCCCACCCCCAATGGATCAAGACTGCAACCATCACTTCTACTAATGGACATCTAAATTCCAACAATCAAGTCTCATCACTGGATCCATGGGTGGTGATATCTTTCCTCTCCACCATCTACTCTTATCCTTTCTTTCCCTTATATATTCTTTATTTTTATAGTTTTATATTGCCATATTCCCATAAATAATAACCAAAGCAGCAACATATCTCCTTTCCATTGCAACCAAATTGTTCTAAAATAAACCTGCCAGATATACATATACACAAATATATACTTCAGTAGTATTTCATTCTAATCCCCACAAAGGGATCTATTAACTAGAATCTCATTTACTCCACCTATGGGGCTGGTCTTAATACACATCTGGGTGGGTTTTGAATGCCTCCAGAGAGGGAGACTCCATGATCTCCCTGGGCAGTCTGTTCCAGTGTTCTGCCACCCTCAGTATGAAGAAGCTCTTCCTCAAGTTGAGGTAGAACTTCTTGTGTTTTAGTTTATGGCCATTGCTCCTTGTCCTGACACTGGGCACCACGGAAAAGAATATGTCACCATCCTTCTGACAGTTTTCTTTGAGATAGTTATGTGCATTAAATGAGATCCCCTCGCAGTCTCCTCTTCTTTAGACTAAAGAGGTCCAGCTCCTTCAGTTTCTCCTCATAAGAGAGATGCTCCAGAACCCTAATCATTTTTGTGGCCTTCCACCGAACCCTCTGCAGTAGTTCCTTGTCTTTCTGAGAAGCTCAGAAGTGGACACAGTACTCCAGATGTGGTCTCACTGGGGCCACTCAACCTGCTGGCCATGCTCTTCCCAATGTACCTCAGGGTACCAGTGATACTCTTTGCCAAAAGGGCACACTGCTGGCTCATGATCAATTTGTCATACACCAAGACTCCCAGGTCCTTCCTGGCAGAGCTGTTCTCTATTATGTCAGCCCCTTACCTGTACTGGTACTTGGGGTTATTCCTCCCCAGGTGCAGTCCTCTACATTTACCCTTAGTGAACTTCATTAGTTTTCTCTCGGCCCAGCTCTTGAGCTTGTCAGGGTCCTGGTGAATGGCAGCACAGCCTTCAGGTGTATCAGCCACTCCCCCCAGTTTCATATCATCAGCAAACTTGCTACCAAGATATTTTGTATGAAAAAATGAGCCAGTTAGGGTAGTGAAGATCAGGATTAAACTTCCTGTTTCATTTGCCAATAGTATTTTTCAGCATATTCATTGCATGTTCAGTTATTGGCAGTTCAGAATTGATTTTCTACATGTTAGCTACTCTTTCAATTTAATCTAACAAATTCACTATTGAAGATGAACTTAGAGCAAACAGACTTCCTGGAAAACTTCCGATGAAAGAAAATATGGTTGATAGAAAAAGATCTTTTCAGAAGGACTCCCAGTAAAACAAACCATGACAAATGATAACAGCCTAATATTTAAGCCAAAACCAAACTCATAAAATATTTTCTATAGTCACCTGTCATTGAAATTAGGATTTCAGACCTCTATTCCTCAGGGTGTACCTCTGCAGGGTACAGCCTTGGTTCTGTTCATGTCTTCTCTAGGATGGTGCTACAGAACTAGTAGTTCTGCATGGGAGTTTGCTGCACAAAATCTGTTTTTAAAGGTCATTAGGAACCATGAAACAAATGCTTCTTGCAGAATGGAAGGCAGGCCTGTGGTCTGTCCATGCCATATTTCAAATAGAGCTGATTGGAGCTTTACAGACAAAATACTTATCTTTAAAGTGCTGTACTGCTGAGCCTGATAAATTACATCTGGAACATCCCCTGCAAAATCCTTCAAATACCAAGGAAATATTTTTCTTCTGTGCCTTAAAAAGCTTTCTGACTGTTTTCACCCATTTTCTCGGCAGCCAGAATTTCAGCCTGGAGTTACATGTTTTCCCCATGATCTGTGATGTCCTTAATGTTTGTAGTTTCATGCTTACATTCCATTACAGCATTTGAAGTGTTTTCTTGCTGCTAAACTCTTCACTTACAATAATTGTGGCTTCTACAGATAAGCAGGCTCTTCTGGTAACACGCATAAGCAGAGCCAAGTCCTATGCTCGTCCATCTGATCCCATCATTGTATGGCTGTGGTCAGTTCTTCAGACATTGTCTCTGCTGCTTCCTTCCTCCTCACACCATTCTCCTGCTCCAGCATGGGGTCCCTCCCATGGGAGTCAGTATTCCTTGAACTTCTCCAATGGGAGTCCTTCCCATGGGCTGCACTTCTTCACAAACAGCTCCAGCATGGGTCCCTGCCATAGGTGCAGTCCTTCAGGACAGGCTGCTCAAGCATGGGTCCCTGAGAGGGTGGCAAGTCCTGCCAGCAAACCTGCTCCAGTGTGGGCTCCTTTCTCCATGGGATCATGGGTGCTGCTAGGATCCTGCTCTGTAGTGAGCTTTCCATGGGGTCACAGCCTTTTTTGGGCATCCACCTGCTTCAGTGTGGGGTCCTCCATGGGCTGGAGGTGTATCTCTGCTCCTGTGTACCTTCATGGCTCAGGGGCACAGCTTGCCACACATGGTCTGCACCATGGGCTGCAGGGGAATCTCTACTCTGGCACCTGGAACACCTCCTCTCCCTCCTCCTTCATGGACCTGGGTGCCTGGAGGGCTGTTGCTCTTACACATTCTCTCTCTTCTCTCCTGGCTGTAGTTGTACAGGAGGTTTTTTTCCCTTTCTTAAACCTATTATCCCAGAGGTGCTGCCCCAGTCACTGATGTGCTCTGCTGTGGCCAGCAGCAGGTCCATCTTGGAGCAGGCTGGCATTGACTTCATTGGACATGGGGAAAGCTTCTGGCAGCTTCTCATAAAAGCTGTAGCCCACCCCACTACCAACAACTTGCCACACAAACCCAGTACAGCCTATGTTTTAGTATCAGGCATTTTAAATCCTCTTGTGCTGCACATGGAGTATAAAGGGAAAAGAAAATATAATCAAGTTTTCCCTAAACCTAAGTGCACATACAGTTTTTGTGTGGAAGGGTCTAGTTGAGGAGATGAATTCCTGAGTTAGACATTTTGTGATATTTTAGGCATTCTGTGTTCCTTTATGCTGCTGAAAAAGCAGTAAATGATCTGGGTGGTCACAATTCTTTCTCCTGGCTTTAATTTTGTAGCTTATGTAAAGCAGTTATAATGAATGTCACATACCTAAACAGTCTTTTCTGTTGTGTAAATTGTACCTACACAAGAGGACTAAGATTCTGTAGAGTAGCTTATGATTTAATATATGATGAGATGCAACAAGCAGATTTAACAAGCAGCCTGGCAGAAGAGCAGTAGACATCTTGCTGTTACCTAGGTTACGTACGTTTAAGGTTCCAACTGAGAATTTTCGGTTTTAAATGACTTTGGGCCTGTTGGGAAACTTGTATAGTCCTTATTGTGGGGTTGTCCTGGACCTCAGAAACCCATGTGGTCAAGCTGGAGCACTTGAGTATCTCTGGAGTCTTAAAATGATGGGGACTTCAAAGTTCAAGGGTGTCTAAACCATCCAGCAGCTCTGTACAGGATATTTTCTGAATTTTTCTCATGA